TAATACAAAAATAAAATAAAAAATTAAAAAATTAAAAAAAACAAAACAAACCATGTGGTTTTATTCATAATAAACCAAAGGTAACAGCCAAGTTCTTCCCCAATTGGGGACTGAATAAACAAATTGTAGTACATATCCACACAATGAAATACTATTCAACAATAAAAAGGAAACATGCAATTGCACAAATAAATCTTAAAATAATTATGATTTGCATGATTCCAGTTTTAAGAAAATCTAGTAAAAGCTACATTACAATGCTAAAAATCAGATCAAAAGATGGGTGCCTGGGCCAATTCACCAGGATTAGAAGTAGTGGATTAACTGTAAAAGTAAGGAAGGAAAATTTTAAAATAGAAATGCTCTATATCGTACTTGTGATCATGATTATATAAATGTAAATATTTGTCAAAACTCAGAGAATTTTATCCCTAAAATTGGTGAATTTTACGCCATACAAATTATAGTTCAGTAAAGCTAACCAAACCCAAGGAGATACACAATATTTTCTCGCAAGATCAACTGGGTGCTAGGTACAAATAAACGAGTCTTAAATAAACACTCTGCTTAAGTTCTGTTTGGCCACTCACAGATGGACATCCTTTGTGAGTACTGCCTTGCCGCAAAGTTCATCAGAAATAGGAGCAAAGAGGCAGGTAGAGCAGTCTATTCAGACCTGGGTTCCCAGTGATTACATAATGTTTTACAGATAATACATCCTTGTGGTACATATTTGTGAATAAAAATTTAAGTACACACAAATTCTTAAAGCTTAGGTACGTTTAATGTTCTAACATTCAGTAATTAAACAAACATACTTAGGTTAGCTGGTTTGCACAGTTTACTAGTATTCCAAACTACCCCGTGCCATTATTTCAAGACATAAACAAAAAAGTTTCGCAGACTTTTAATTCACAATGTATATTTATTAACTCTAGTTTATTCATTAAGCATCCATTATTAAAAAAAACCCAGTGAAATCTCTGCATTTTAAAATCATGCTGTTAAGAATTAAAATAATTCTAAAGCATAAATTAAATTCTTCAAGATCAACTGCTTTACACCCTCTATACTGAAAAAATTCACAGTTCTTTCAATATTTGAATTGCGCAGAATTAACTTACTGTACAGACAATTTTATTCTAAACACTGATTATGAAACTGATTCTATGGCTAAGAAATCCTAGAGTAAATATCTAAAAGAAATAACAATTAGCCAGTTTTAAAAAACAATACAATGTTTTATGAACCAATAAGGGACGACCTTTCTTGAAATCAAACTTTAAAATAACTGAAAAATTTGAAGTGAATTTGCAAAATAGTAAACTTACAATTTGTTGCCATATGAAACTGAGAAGAAAGTGCCTGAGTAACTGAATTCCAAAATGTGTATAAAATGTCAGGCTGTCCATCCTGCGAAACAACAAATAGATGTATTTATTTAAGAATGTATAATAAATAAGATGTAACATTGACAATTTAAATGAAAAAATGAGATATAAGTAAAAAACAATGTGATCATTAAATAACTAAGTAGAAATATATATATATATATATGATTTAAATTATGTCTCATGTTCAAGTGATCAGTCATAGTCCTGCTCTGCTATCTACTTGCCACAGGATCTTGGGAAGCTGCTTAACCATTCTGTGTCTGAAATCTCCTCATCTGTAAAATGGGGATGGCAACAATTTCTACGCTTCCTGTGAGGATTAAAGAAGTTGAAAAAAACTCTTAGGCCAGTATGTGACATGTAACAGGCTTTCGATGAATGTTAGCTGTTACTGCTCTAATAATTATTATTATCATCACTTGATACACAGGAGACCATTCGTGTCATCACAACAAAGCAATGGACAAAATATGCTCAGGCAGGCCGGGGATTTAGCTCTGTGGTTTTGCTGCCTGTTGTGCAAGCGCAAGGACCCGAGTTTGATCCTGACACCCAAAAATAAATAAATAAATAAAAACCTGCTCAGGTCAAGCAGTTTACAGGGCATAAATCACCATTACAAAAGAAAATGATTGAAGACTACATACAACTTTTAAAAAGCAAAAATGATATTATTACAGGAGACTTTCGTCTAACTTCAAACAATTATTGTGATTTAGAAAGTAATCATTAAAAAGAAAAGTAAATACTAATATAAATATCATTTATTATAAAAAGTACTTTAATATTGTTAAAATGAAATAACACTGTCAGAAATTTTGATAAATATTTTAAGGTACTTGTACATGCCTGGCATTTATATCAAACTGCTAATATTATAATATTTTTGAAATATAAAAAGGACAACTTCATAGAATGCATCAAAGAAACAGGATAAAGTCTAATATTCAATTATTACTAGTCATAAAAATGAAATTCTAATTTTAATGTTGCAAGTGAACAAAATGACCAATGAAAAATACCAATTTGTGAATGTTAAACCTGTGCATACTTCCATTCTTACTGTTTCTTACTTTACTAAGTTATGCCTTTGAATTTAGTCACATGGAAACTGTGTATTATAAAGATAAATAACTGTTGATTTCTTATGCAATGATCACAAAATACATTCAGATTCCCAAGATTTTATGTATTATGGAATCTGTGTCGTAAAAAGATGCTTTTTGTCATATTAAAAAAGTATAATACACCACATTAACAAAACAAACAACAAAAGCCACAAAGTATCTCAATTGATGTATATAAAGCAGTTAACAAAATTCAACCATCTTGAGCTGGACATGATGGCACATGCCTATAATCCCAGAATTCAGGAGGCTGAGGCAAGAGGACTGCCATAAAGAACAGGCCAGCTTGAACTATGTAGTGAGACCCTGCCTAAAAAAAAACAAAACCAACACTCTTTCATGATATTTAAAAAAATACATGGAACACACTAGGACTAGAAGAAAATTATATCACTATAATAAAGGCCTTATATGAAGAGAGCAGAGCTATAAACATCATATTCAATGGTGTAAATGTAAAAGCTTCTCCTCTAAGAAACGAGGTCAGGATGCCAACTCTCACTATTTGTGTTCACCATAGTTCTAGATGTACTACCAAAGCAAACAGGTGAAAAAAAAAAGAAATGAAAGACACCCAGAATAAAAGGGGAGATGTAAAATTATATGCTCAAAGGTTACATGAACTATTATGTAGAAAACTAAAGATTCCACATAAAAGTTAGAATAAATGAAGTCAGTAAAATTGTGGGATACAAAGTCACAAAAAGCAATTGTGTTTTTATGCACCAACAATGAACAAACTGAAAAAGAAATGAAAAAAAACAACTCATACAGAATAGCATTCAAAAGAATAAAGCTTTGGCCGGGGATTTAGCTCAGTGGTTCCGCTGCCTGCCTTGTAAGCACAAGGTCCCGAGTTCAATCCCTGGTTAAAAAAAAAAAAAAAGAAAGAAGAAGAATAAAGCTTTTTGGAATAAGCCAAGAAGGTGGATTTATACATTGAAAACCATAAAATACTGCTGAAATAAAGACAACATAAAAAAAATTCATGGATTAGAAGACTTAAAATTGTTAAAATGCCCATACTACTGAAAGTGATCTCAATTAATGCAATCTCTATTAAACCTCAAAGGTATTTTTTTTTAGAAAAGTAGGAGGAAAAAATCCTAAAACTCATATAGAATCCTAAGAACTCCAGATATCTTTTTTGAGAAAGAAAAGTAAAGGTAGAGGCCTCGTTTTTCCTGCCTCCAAAACATCAGTAATCAAAATAAGAGACTGGCATAAACACAGACATATAAACTCATGGAACAGAATGGAGAATCCAGAAATAAAACCTCAAATATATATGATCATATGATCTTTCATAAGGATACCTAGATTACACAATGGGGAAAGTATAGTCTCTTTAAGTAATGGTGTTGGAAAAATTGTATACATACATGCAAAAGAAGGAAGCTGAACCCTTACCTTGTATCAAATAAAAAGTTAACTCCAAATGAACAAAAGATGTAAATGTAAGACTTGAAACTGTAAAACTCTAAAAGAAAACATAGGAAATGCCCCCATGACACTGGATTTTGCAATAGTCATTAAATATGAAACTGAAACAGTGGCAAGAAAAGCAAAAATACACAAATGGGACTTCATCAAACTTGAAATATCCCACTGAAAGCAATAAGAAACACAGCATAAGAAACAACCAACAGAAAGAAAAGGAAATGTACAGAATGGGAGAAAATATTTGCTAAACATATGCATGAGAAGGGGCTAACATCAAATACATAAAGAAATCCTAGTATTCAACAACAAAAAATGGCCAAATTTAAAAATGGGCAAAGCCAGGCAGGGTGACACACTTCTGTAATCCCATCCACCTGGGAGGCTGAGGCCCAGAAGATTGCAAGCCCAGCCCAGACAATTTAGGGACTTAAGAATCAATTCCTCAAAGTTAAAAAAAAAAAAAAAGAATTGAAGATGTAGTTTGGTGTGAAGGCCCTAGTTCAACCCCTGGTACTACAAAATGCGGTTGAGGGTAACAGATACTCTCCAAAGAAACAAATGGGCAACAAACATGAAAAGATGCTCAGCACCATTAATCATTGGAGAAATGCAAATCCTACTATCAAAAAAAAAGGCAGAAAATAGCAAGTGTTGATGAGGATGTGGAGAAATTAACTCATGCACCTGTGGGAAGGAACGTAAAATGGTGCCATTATGAAAAAAACAGGGAAGTTTTTCAAAATATAAAAATAAAATCATCATGATATTTAGCAATCCCATTCTATGTATACATCTAAAAGCAAGATCTCAGCCAGAAATGGTGGTGCACTCCTGTAATCCCAGCTCTCTGGGAGCTAAGGAAGGATTCCAAGTTTGAGCCCAGCTTGGGTGACTCTGTCTCCAAAAAAAGGTCTAGGGATGTAGTTCAGATCAGGGTTCAACCCCAGTACCACAACCGGGGGAAGATCTCAAAGAGATGTTTGCACAACCATGTTCACTGCAGCATCATTCACAAAAGCCAAGAGGTGGAAGCAACCTAAACCTCTACCAGTGGATAAAGAAAATGGGGTATAGGATCTTGGGTCAAGGTAGTCACTGCGGCTCCGGTCCTTTCCGCCTGTGTCCCCCGCCTACCCTTGGCCTTCGTGCCGCCTCGGATTCCCACACTGGCCCTGGCCCTGGCCAGGACGCTCTGCACCGCTTTGTGTCCCCCCGGAACCCGGACGAGGCCCAGGGCGATGCAGCAGGCCTCGGTGCTGGCACAGGTTCCAGGGAGGGTTCCACAGTTGTGCCGCCAGTATCGCGATGCGCCTCCTTTGACATTAGAAGGAATCAAGGACCAGGTGCTGTACTTCTTGAAACTTTATGACGAGATTGACCCAGAAAAGCTCTCAGTAAATTCCCATTTTATGAAAGACCTGGGCTTAGACAGTTTGGACCAAGTGGAGATTGTCATGGCCATGGAAGACGAATTTGGGTTTGAAATTCCTGATATAGATGCGCAAAAGTTAATGTGTCCACAAGAAATTGTAGATTACATTGCAGATAAGAAGGAAGTATATGAATAAAATACCAGACTCCTTTTCCTCACAGAGGCCTCCAGTGATACTGATGATCAGAAGCGAGAATGCATTTTGTCATCATCACATAGAGTAACTCTTTTGGACTTGTATTTAAGTTGTCTTGTTTTGCCCTTTGAAAATAAATCAATACAGAGAGAGAGAGAGAGAGAGAGAGAGAGAGAGAGAGAGAAAAGAAAAGAAAAGAAAAGAAAAGAAAAGAAAAGAAAAGAAAAGGAGGTGTATATACACAACGAACTATTATTCAAACTTAAAAAGAAATCCCAGTCAGGTGCTAAAATATGGATGAGCTCTGAAGACATAATCCTCAGGAAAATAAGTCAGTTGTCAAAAAGACAAATACCCCAGGATTCTAATATATGGATATCTAATGTAGTCAAATTCCTAGATGCAGAGAGTACATTGATGGATGTCAGGAGTTTGAGAAGGGATAAAACAGTAGTTCGATATGTACAGTGTTGATTTTAGAAGATGAAAAGTTCTAGAGATTTACTGTACAAAATACATTTAACACTATTGTGCTTCATAATTACAAACGGTTAGGATGGTAAGTGTATATTTTTTGATACAGAAATATATTTTAAAACTAGTTTCTATGAATTTTTTAAAAATATAAGGACTGGATATTACATTTTATTTGCTTTTATGCCCTGAAATAAAGGTATACTTGTGCAGAGTTCCTTACTGGAGATACAAGGGCATTTAACTGAACATTTTTCCTAATATTAAATTATCTTAATAATGCTGATGTGAATCCTAACTTCTTAGGCACATGACAGATACTTATTTTAACACACTATTAAAATCAATTTGCTTTCATGTCTGAAAATTCTATATTTGTATTCTTAAGCAACACTGGTCCTATTTTC